TCGGCCTGTTCTGCTCCCCGCTCTGTCTCTGGTGAAGCCTCTCACCACCTGCACCTCTGGCCTGTACCCCAGTTCTGTATGCATAAGTAAACCTTAGAACAACAACAGGCCCATTGGCCCAGGCCCTGCAGGGGGACGCACCTAGGGCCAGGCTGGGGAGGCCCACGGGGCTCGTCAGCCCCACCCAGATCCCCCAGGCACAGGGCAGGCGCCACTGCAGCCCTCAGGGGTGCCGCCCCCTGACCTGGACCACTGCAGGCACAGTGAGGGAGGTGCTCCCTCTGGCGCCGAGTGCTTTGAGTGAAAGGGGGAGCAAGTTGGCTCGACTCTGGCGCAAAAGAAGGGAATGGCCCCAGCGTGCAGGGGCGAGACCCTGGGCTGGCACCAGGCGGGGTGAAGCCTCGGTGTTGGCTATTTACTTGGGGCCTGTTGCATTTGCCACTGGACATCATGGGGCTCTTGGGGTGCCCTGGTAGGCTCAGAGGCAAGTAAGTGTACAGAGGTGGGGTTCATATCACAAGAGGGCCTCGGGACGCTTGGGGTGAGGGGGGCTGGACGGTTTGGGGGCCTCGGTTCACCCAGACTCGCAAGGCGCTGGCTCCTGAGGCCGAGGGCTCAGTCTCCCGGCGTGTCTCCGCAGCCTACAAAGAGAAGATGAAGGAGCTCCCGCTGGTGTCTCTCTTCTGCTCCTGCTTCCTGGCCGACCCCCTGAACCAGTCATCCTACACATACAAAGGTAGAGGCTGCAGCACCCGGGCGCAGCATCTGTGGCTGCACCCCCGCATCCAGCCCCGATCCACGCTTCCTGGGACCCCCCTCCCCACGGCACGTTTCTTCCCCAGGCCGGAGAGCCCCGGCCGCTGGGTCTGGGGTCTGCCGGCCTCCGAGGCCGGAGCTGGGCCCGCTGTGTGGCCGAGCCTGAGTGTGCCACGCGGTCTCACCAGCGGGCGCCGTGGAGCGGGCGGTGGGGGAGGCAGAGTGAGCCCTCCGCAGCCCGAGCCTGAGGGGGGACGTGGCAGTCGCCGGAGTCTCCTGGTGGCGGTCAGAGAATGTGCTGGACAGTGCAGAGCGGGGAGAGGGCGTGTGCCCGGCCGCCGAGGCTCTGCGGCGGCTGAGCGCAGGTGACGGGGCCCGGAACAGGTGTCCCCCAAACTGGCAGGGGGTGCTGAGCGGTCCTGATGGGGCGTCAGGCACAGGCACCTCCTGATTCCCAGGGGCCCGGGGAAGGACGGGCTGGTCTGGAGCGAGAGAGGGCGCCGGTGACGGAGGCCGTTTTTCCTGTTTAGGCTGGTGTGGGAGACAGTGTAGGAGGAAAGATCAGAGCCAGCGGAAAGACAGCGCTGACTGGAGAGAGAGAAGAGAGCAGGGTAGGAGGGGCCTGGGGGTCACCGGCCGCGCCTCAGACTGGGGGGGCAGGGGTGGATGGTGGGTGGGGGTCGGGGGAGCAGGCCCCTTTGCACCCCAGGTCACAGTGGGGGAGCCTGTGGCAGGCGCAGGGCCCGGTCCCGGGGCCCTCGAGGCTGGGGCCTCACGGTGCCGGGCCGCCCAGGGGCCTGGGGTGCCCCCGAGCCTGGCGGTGGGTTGGCCCCGGGACCCCCGGTCTCCCGGCCCCCGGGTGAGCAGCCCCTTCCTGCCCTCCCAGCCGACACGGTGGACCTGAACTGGTGCGTCATCTCCGACATGGAGGTCATCGAGCTGAACAAGCGCACCTCGGGCCAGTCCTTCGAAGTCATCCTGAAGCCGCCCTCCTTCGACGGGGTGCCCGAGTTCAACGCCTCCCTGCCGCGGCGGCGAGACCCGTCGCTGGAGGAGATCCAGAAGAAGCTGGAGGCAGCGGAGGAGCGACGGAAGGTGAGTCTGCCCTCCTGCCCCCATCCCAGCACGAGGGGAGGGAGCTGGAGAGCCGAGTGGGGCGGTCACTGCCACCGGGCAGCTCCCCCAGGCAGGCAGAGAGTGAGGCGTGAGGGGAAGGCTGGGAGGCCCTGGTGGCCAGGAGCTCACCGGGGCCGGGGGTGCGGGGCTGGCCGCGCCCGGCCGGAGCCGGCAGCTTCCATGCTCTGACGGGGGCAGGATGGGGCGGCCCTGGGCTGGGGCGACCGCAGACGCTAGGGAGGACTCTCGTGGGGTCGGCGTGCAGCGGCCTGCGCCCTGAGGACCCTCCCTGGACGGGGCTTCGCTCCAGCTGGACCCTGGAGCGTTCCGAGGGATGGTCTGAGGCTCCTTGGGGCACGTCCAGTTCCTCCTGGCCTGGGGAGGGCAGCGTCATGTCTTCCGGAGAACCCCGCGGCACGGTCCCGGCTCCCAGCACCATCAAGCGGGGGCTCGCGCTCCCGGGGTCCCCGTGGCCCCCTTGGATACCCCCAGGACAGCATAGCCCCTGCTGACCCGCACGGCTCAGGGCGCATCACGTGCCAGGCGGACGACCTCGTCACCGCGCCCTAGGGCTAATGCCGGACTTGCCCGCGTGGCTAGGAACGGCATCCGGGCTTTGTGAGCAGATGGACCCAGGGGCGGCAGCAGTGACACAGACGGCTGAGGGTGCAGGGGCGACTCCAGACAGGCCCTTTCTCCCTGCGGAGGGGCCAGGCCCCGCTCGGGCTGGGGGTGGCGGAGGTAGGTCCTGGGGCGTCCTGGGAGCCCAGCACGCTCCCCTCCAAGGGCCTCTCGCCCCCCTGCCCCCCAGTACCAGGAAGCTGAGCTCCTGAAGCACCTGGCGGAGAAGCGAGAGCACGAGCGGGAGGTGATCCAGAAGGCCATCGAGGAAAACAACAATTTCATCAAGATGGCCAAGGAGAAGCTGGCCCAGAAGATGGAATCCAACAAGGAGAACCGAGAGGCCCACCTCGCCGCCATGCTGGAGCGGCTGCAAGAGAAGGTGAGGGCTGGGGGTGCGCTCCCCTGGGGCTCGCTCCGTCCTGGGGGCAAGCTCAGCGCATGGCGTTTCAGGGAGCAGAGGCTTGGGCAGCCTGGGGACGTGTGCACGAGGCTGGGTCCTTTGCGCACCCCAAGGGATGACTTGGGAAATCATAAGCAAGAAACACAAGCCGGCTTTGGAGTTCCTGGGGGCGCTCCGCGCCAGGACACAGCTCCCCGTGTCTCGGGAGCCCAGACGCAGGCCTAGGCAGGCCTGTCCTCCCGAGGATGAGGGGACGCACAGCCGCGGGGTGTCCTGGCTCCGCCTCGCGGGGACTGTGGTCCTCGTGAGCGAGCGGACGTGACCCCTCGGCTCCAGGCCGGCCAAGGGCAGGGTGCGCCCGGTGCCCGCTCCTCTCCAGCTCCTCGCCAGGAGCCCGCCGTCCGCCGACTCGCCGCCTCTTGCCCGCCCATGAGCCGAACCGTGTCACCTAAATATCAGGAACGTGCACGACTGGGCCGGCCGCCAGCCAGCCGGCGGGAGAGCAGGCGCCGCTGGGGACTCGCTGGCCTCGTTTCCCGGCCGCAAGGCTGCCCCAGTTTCTCGGCAGCTCCTGGGGGGCTCCAGCTCTGTGTTTTATTTCAGGAGCCGCCTGCCGCGCGGTGACTCCCGGGACCCGATCGGCCTCGTCCCATGGTGAGCTGCGTGGCCCCGACCTTCTGCCTGTCGCCTAGCGCTGGGGCCCTTGCCAGCAGCCCTAGAAAGTTCTGGTTTCGTCGGCAGGGGTCTGAACGTGGCGGGCGCCCTGCATCCGGCCACCCCCTCACCCCGACCCAGGGAAGGCGGCTGCTTGGAGCCTGCTTGCTCTGGCAGTGCCAAAGGTGGGGCTGTGGCAGGCTCGGGCGGGGTTCAGGCCGAACCCCAGCGAACACCGAGACAGCCTGCGATGGTGCTTGAGAGTCAAGCACTTTGGTTCCACCACATCGCTAGTGCGGCAGGCGGCCCAGGAGGGGAGCGGGCCGGGGTCTCCCGACCGGGAGCCCTTCAGGGCAGGCAGATGTCCCGCCCGGGCTTTGCCTGGGTCCAGGTGACTCGCCCAGGGCTTGTCCCCGGGAGGCCAGCCCGAGCCTCCTGCTGGTCTCTGCCAGACGCGGTCACGGGCGTCACGGGCAAGGGCAGGGACGGAGGTGGATCCAGGTGGAGACTCCGGGCAGGCCGCCCTGGCCGAGGTGAGGTCAGGAAGCCAGCGGCCAGCAGAGCTGGGGGTGGCCCCGGCCCCAGCACCGGCCCCGCCCCTTCGCCCTCCCGGGAAGGCGGGAGGCGGAGAGAGCGCAGGGCACCACGTTCCTGCCCGCGCCAGCCAGTGGCCGCGGTGCCAGTGTGGGTCACTGACTTCTGCGCCAGGTGTTCTTGGTATCACGTTCAAGGTTACAGGTGCCTGGGTCTCGGGGGAAGCTGCCCCAGGACCTGCAGTTTCGGGGGGCTTCCGAAATGCTCCTGCTGCACAGCGAGGTCGAGGTTACCCCAGCCCACCAGCCCCCCCCTACACGCTCCCCTGGGCCGCGGAACGTTCTAGGGCCCCTGCGGGACCGACGGCCAAGGTCTGTCCTGGAAGCTGGCACTGCCCATGGCTCTGCCGCGGGTTCAGGGTGTGATGTCGGGACGTCTGAGCCCAGGCCTGGCGGAGGCCGCGTCCGTGAGCACCCGCCGTGGGAGAGATGGGGCGAGGAAGGGGCGGCCCGCACCGGGCCCCAGCACCCGGGCCCAGACGGAGCGGGCGCGGGCAGACCTCGGTGCGCCCCAGAGGAGAACGTGGACGGTGCCGGGAGGGATGCGCGCCCCACCCAGGCCCCTCGCCAGAGGCCAGGCCCCCAGCCGGCACGGGGACTCCGACGCGGTGTCTGGACGAGGCTGTGACACCAGAGAGGGTTCTCTCAGAGCAAGGGGGGCGCTGGCATTTCCAAAAATTCTGCGGTCAGTTCCTAACTCTCGGGGCCCTCGTCTTTCACCCGGGGGTTAAACCTACTCTCTGGAGAGATGAGAAATCAAGGCACTGATCAGCTGGCATGTGTGGGGGCACCGGGAGGAGCCCGGGGCCCCACCTGCTCCTCCTGCCAGGCCGCACCCCCGGCTCCCTGCACCAAGTCGAGCAGTGACTGTGTCATGGCGAACCCCAGGTCGGCCAGGGCAGGGCAAGCCTGAGGCCGGGGGGCTGCTGCCCGGTGGGTCCTGCCGCAGCCGGGGAGCGAGCGCCCTGGGCCGAGCGGCACCTGGCTCCCCTGCCCCCGCGGCCTCACCTGCCTCCTTCCGCACCTCCTCAGGATGCCTGTGCAGACCCTGCTCTTCGCCTCCTGTGGCTGCCACCTCGCTTTGGGTTCTGGCCCCCTTGGCCGCGGGCAGCCTCGTGTGACCGGCCTTCTCCCCTCCCTCCCTCCTAGGACAAGCACGCGGAAGAGGTGCGGAAAAACAAGGAGCTGAAGGAAGAGGCCTCCAGGTAAAGGCCAGAGGCCAAAGAAGCTTCCGGAACAGCCAGACAGTTCCAGCGGCTCCGCGGTCTGAGGCGGCCTCACCTCACCCACCGCTGGCTGCGGGCCCAGCACCGGGGCTCGGGGGGAGGGGGGTGGCCAGGGGCTTTTGGTGTTTGTACGTGTAAAGAATTGACCCGTGAAGCCATCCTATTTGTTTCTGGGGAACAACGATGGGGTGGGAGAGGGGAGAGGAGAGTCTGGGAACGGGAGGTGGAGAAGGACTCGTGCACAGGCTGCAGACTCAGGTCACCACCTCGGCTCTTCCTCGCGGTGGGCGTCCAGGCACCTCGACGGGAGCAGGTTCCAAGCGGCCGCCGCGGCTCCGAGCCGGGTCCTGGCGGGGCGGAAGTGCCAGGCGTGGCTGGGGAGGCCGGCAGCCCTGCGTGGGCCCTGCGTGGCCAGGGGCCGGCCGGCCGGGTGAGGTCTGGGTGTGCGTCTTAACCATTACCTTTGATCATCACGACCAATGAGACACTCACTCCAAGCCTCCCGCTCTTTATTTCCTGTTTGTCCTCCGCGTGAATGATAGAATGTTCTTGAATTCGCTTCCACCCACCGCCCCGGGGAGCTCCTTTCTCCTTGCTTTGCCCCCCAGAGCAGCCACGGGCTGGGCAGAGGGTTGAAGCAGCAGTCTTTGCCTGGGGTCCCCGCGGTTTTCTTTCCTTAAACCCCCTCGCTGTCCTTCCTGGGCCGAGTGAGCTGAACTGATGAAAGAAGAAATCAGCCTTCTTTCTCAGAGATTAACCCTCCAGGGTGGCCTTCAGGTCCTTTAGTCGGAGAGAAGTCCGTCTCTCTTTGGGGGTACAGGGCTCTGGTGGGGGGGACAAGAAGTGAGCAAGGAAATAGAATGTTTGGTGAGGAGAATGGGGGGCAGCCCCACAGCCCCGAGCGCAGGCCGAAGGGAGTCTCCCTCCTCCTGGGCCGACTGGGGTCGGGGTACAGTCTGCGTGGCCAGGGGCGCCGGGCAGCTCATGCCCACCCGGCGCTCTGCCTAGTCTGTGTAGCTGCGTGAATAGAGGTTTGGGGCCACCGCCCCCCGCCGGCAGAGCTGCGACCCAGCTTCATCTCAGGGCAGGAGGGAACGGGGAGGAGAGGATGGTGGTGATGGTGCCAAAATAACAACTCTGGCAGTTAAGGCACGGCCCCGCGGGCTGGACACCAGGCCGCTCTCTGGCTCTTCCCACAGTGGCCTTTCCCTGAGGGGGCTGCTGCAAGACTCTAAGCCACAGAAGTGTCCCTTCCACATGTGCTGTGTTCACACGTTTACAAGGAAGTTGCATTCATAAAGTAGAAAACCGATGATAAAAAGAAAGGGAAAGGAATAAATAAAATAAAAGTAATGATACTATCCCAAAATAAAAGGCCTGTGACTGTGGGCCCTCTCTGCCCCTCTAAATATCTCATCACACGCTCACGGCCAGGCCAGAGTCGACCGCAGGTAACTGGAACTGCAGGATTGAAACCGCGCGGAGGGCAAACAAATGTATCATTTCACCTTTTTTTAATTTATGCATAAACTGGGATATAGGCCAGAGGTGCAGGGGTGGTGAGAAGTCACCACAGATAGAGGGGGAAGCGGAACAGGCAGATCGATGAAGGACACTGCTGAGGGGAGCAGCGGACGGGTCAGGAGGGGTCTGCTGCGCTCTGGGGTCACCTCCGGGCGGGGATCGAACTCCCACTGAGGCAGCCTGCGGCTGGCTTGCAGTGCTGGGTCCTAACCCACTGCGCCACCACACCCCTACAGGCAATGGGGTGGTGACTCCTATCCCATCCAGCAGATAAGGGAATGGGGAGTCAGGAAGGTTAGGGTACTTGTCCAACTACCCAGGTGATAACAGGTGGGACGAGGGGCTGGCGTCACAGCAGTTCCCTCACAGAGCCCAGCTCTTCCCCAGGCTCAGTGCCGCTTCTGGACACTTCCACAGCTCCTCAGCTGACCCATTGGAATGTGCAAACTACTCGGATCCCATCCAGCTCTTTTTTCCAAATGCAATAAAATACAAGCACCTGGGGTTCAGTTCTAGTCGCCCCAATAAAGCAAATCTGGAAACAGAGCGAATCACACAGAGGTTCGGGACACCCAGTGGCAACGTCACTGTCACACTACACCAGCGTTAGTGCCAGCGCTCTCTCAAAAAATGACCTTCATTAAACATTTCTTGTGGGGGCTCCCTGGTGGCACAGGGTTTAAGTCTCAGCGTTATGAAGCTATTGCGAGCCACTGCTCCAGGGTCTCTGTAGAAACCACGTGGATGAGAGGCCACGGCCAGTTGGAAGGAAGGTCACTGTGTGAAGGGAGCCCGAGAGAAGAGGCCACTTGAGTCTCGAACAAGCCCGGAAACAGCAACGGGGCTCAGGGTGGGAGCCACAGGCAGACCCACAGAAGAGCCCCCACCTCCCCGCAGCCCCGTGGCTCAGCAGAGGCGACTGTCCACTGCCTGGACGAGGTAAAGATTCCAGAGCTGGGACAGTTATGGCAGGATGACGTGAAACATTTTCCAGGAGAGTGCTGAAAACGTTAGGTGGTGATTTCACGTGGCAGGCACCAGGCACGGGGCAGGGAATCTCACAGGCACAGACGCACCGAAATGCTAATTACGTGTGTGGTTTTTATTTGATTGAGAGCCCATCAGTAGTTAGGTTATAGACAAGATACTGAGGCACAAACATAAACTAAGAAATTCTAATTCCCAGTGGCTGGCCATCCTGCGGAGACAGGGTTTTGAGTAGTGTGCGTTCTCTGCAGACCAAACCTGGAAAGTTCCGTGGGAGCGGAAGGGGAGCAGGGGCGGGAGAGGTCGCAGACAGGACCCAGGTCTGAGCTGACCTGTGAGGTCTGGCAGGCAGAGCAGGGGGTTGGGGGGAGCCTTCCAGCCCGGGAGGACAGTATGAGCAAGGGTGGGGCCCCTGCGGTCTGGGGGTGACCCGTAGCTCCCTAAAACAAGGGTCTGTGCTGATAAGAAGTGTGAGTCCCTGGAGGCAGAGCGCCTGCAGATTCTGGATTCTTCCTGTGGCCGTGGGCTCGGGGGCTGGATTCAGGAGTGTGGCCTGGTTCTGTGAGTATTAGCGGGGATTGAGGAGTGTGGGCAACACCCTTGTCCAGGAAAGACCTCTTGACAGCACAGATGGGAAAGGGGCAGGAGAGTGGCCATGAGGGAGTGGGGGCTGGCAGGACTCAGCGGGCGTCTGACCAGCAGGGGGCAGATGGAGCTCGTCCAGGAAAGGAAGGGAGGGGCTGCCAGAGGGATTCAGGCCAGGCCTGGGGGGGCTTAAGTTGCCTTTTCTCCAGCTGATGGGGCTGGGCTGATGGCTGGATCACACCTAAGCTACCTGAGCTGATGAGCTGCTTTTCACTACACCATCCAGGCGCCCTGGCGCTCTGCCTTTAATAGCTGAAGCTGGGGAGATCGAAGGTCCTTAAAACAGATGCGTGGCTGAAGTCCCAGCTGTAAAGGCACATGGAAACCTGCGCCAGAGTGTAGACAACCTCATGTGAGACATGCACCCGAACCCGCCCCGAGCACAGCTGCAGGGGCCTGGATAAGTGGTAGCAGGGGGCTGTCTCGTCAGCATGGGTTTCGTTTACTGGTGAAATTTTTGATTGACTCTACAGCTCCCAACCCGTCTTATTTTTTGGTTCGGTTTACCTATGCTGGGATGGAAATGGAAACAGTCCTACACCAGCCGGGTGTTTTCACTGGAGGAGAGGCCCCGTTCTTGCCCTTCCCACTCTCCTGCTGGCCCGGATGTGGGTGTGATGGCTGGCGCTCCAGCAACCATCTTTGAGTCTGAGGTGAAGATGAGAAAATAATAAGCAAGGGGTCACAACAGGGAGGCAGAGGCCTTTACCCTTCCCAACCCATACACACTAAGCCAAGTCAGAAATAAAGGAGGGCAAAATGTTTTTATTTAGTGTCTGGAAAGAACAGAGTATACATTAGCTAGTAATACAGCCGCGGTGAGCCGTGTCGTCTATAAAGGACAGAGGCAGTCAATTCTGCAGCTCTAATAGGCCAGGCAGAAACCTTGATTATTTTACTGACACTATTCTGAAACAATATTGCTATAAACCAACTTTATCTCAATAAAAAAATAATGCAAACCCTCCCCCCCTCCATGATATCCAAAGGTTGTCACAGACCAGTCTTGTATATATTTGGTGCCTTAGTAGATTGAAATTACTGACGAAATGAAATTCGATTTTTTTCCAAATAACCATGACTTCGGAGGTGTGAGTGTCCCCAGAATGCCTCTGAGCTGACGCATTCTAGTCAGTCATCCGACACAGGGAGCCCCACGAAGTGCTGGTCCTGCTGTCAGGGCTGCTGAGGTCACCAGCACACCAGGAGGGGAGAGCGCTCGTCCTCCCTGCTGGGCCAGAACGGGGCACGGGACTGAGCGCGGGGCAGGTGGCTCTCGCGGAGGCGGGCAGGCGGCTTCACGGGGAGGGCCTTCCTGGTCCGGCCACCTGTCTCCTGCCCTCCCCCGCCGTGCGGGGCATTGGGCCCCTGACAGTTACTCAGATGGGGACAGAGAAGACACAGCTCGCAGACACCGGGATGGAGTCACACTTTCTATTTACAGAACACCCCGTGAACAGAGCAAGAATCGAAACACAGGCATATCGGTGTCCAGCTCTCATCTGTGACTGGAGCCATGGACAACAACGAAGGAGAGGGCCCGAGGGAGACACTGGGGGGAAGCAGTGAACGTGCCCTCCGCGGACTGGGGGGATCCGGAACTCAGGCTAAGAAAGGAAATCTCCCCAACTCATATTCCAGGAAAACTGCAACTCGAATTTGTGGTGTGGGGGCCAGGGCGTGGCCCATGGAGGTGGGTGCTCCCCACCGCCGCAGTAACCCCAGGTCTGTCTGCACTCGCTGGGTGGCGATGGCACTGAGCAGACTCTTGAGTGTGGTGCCATGGTCCCACACCTGGCTTCTGCTTTCAGTGACCGTTTGGTCAACATCCGACGCTCTTTCAGTGACCGTTTGGTCAACATCCGACGCTCTTTCAGTGACCGTTTGGTCAACATCCGACGCTCTTTCAGTGACCGTTTGGTCAACATCCGACGCTCTTTCAGTGACCGTTTGGTCAACATCCGACGCTGCGGGGACCCCAGTCTCAGTAGCATGCTGCTCCTTTCCCAGGAAGCCCTTGGGGTGCTCCAGTGCACAGCACAGCTCACTCCTCCCAGCTTCCACCTTGTCCCCCAGCCAGTTCCGGGGTTCCCAAGGCCAAGCCCCTTCCGCATCCTCCACCTGCTTCCTGAGGAGCTCCGGGAGTCCTGGTGCTTCTCTCTGTGCTGAGTGGTGGCCTGCTCTGGGCCACCACATCCTATCTGCTTACAGGACAGGCAGCACCTGACGGAAACCCTGGCCCAGCCGTCCGGAGCGGAAGTCAACATCAACGGTGAGGCTTTTTGTCCAGGCCACTAAAACCTCAAGCTCCAGCCCGAGAGGCTGTTCAACACCG